CAGTTTACTACAGAAACAAACACAGAATGAACTATGTTGGTGCTGTTGCTTTTAGAAACATTGGTTTGTAAACCTGCAGGCATCATTCATCAGGAGTCTAATTTTTCATTAACTGGTGGAAAACTTCTGCCTTGGCAATTTTAAAGAGAAATAATGGACACTCACCTCTTCCCAAACAAGAAAAAAAATATAAAGAAAAAACATCTGCAACTTCTGTGTTTGATGAGTGTTTATGATGTACCCCTTCCTGTTCTTTCCGAGGTTTCATTTTCATTTAATTCTACTTTTCCTCACATTCTAAAAATAAACTTCTAGTATATATTTCATTTATTCCCAGTCTGCTGTAATTAAGTTGCAGATAAACATATGGTTACCATATGACAAAGTGATATTGAAAGGAAATGCTTTATGAGAGACACCATAGTGTGTGTACTTGGGCCCAGGGAATGCTGGTTTAGCTCTTCTGCAGACACACAGCCTCAATTCCACTATGAAAATACAAGTAGTATGGTAAAGTCACAGTCACACAGAGAATAGTGACAAACTGACTCATGCTGTAGAGTCACAGTTGAATCAAGCTTGAAAAATCACGTGAAAGCAGGAAAATAAGTAGCAATGGAAATAAATAGAGCAGAGACCAAAAAGGAGAAGCTGTAATCGACTGAAGATAGAAAAAAGAACGAAGCAAAAAAACATTCATTGCCAGTTTGTAATGCTACACAGGCTTGGGATGAGTAAGGTTCCTCCCAGATGGTGTCAGGTACTAGTGTAGAGCATTGACTTAACCTTAAGAGGTGTTTGTAAGATTGAATCTTAGCAAAGTGATTTATGACTGTCAAGTTCCAGATATGCTCTGCTAAAAACTGCAGGTGTGGAACTAGGTGGATGCTGAGCAATTTTCATTCAAGTAACCAGCGGTACATACATGATGGAGGAGACCAGGCATATCCTGAGCTTGGGAGTGAGTTCAGGAAACATTTTCTGCAAAGCTTTCTCCAAAATTATCCTTTCATCTGCTAAGAAGAGAACACGCACGTTGGTGGTGTTTCTTGAGCTCTTAGTTTGAAAAGGAGGGAACTGGGTAGCGGCTGAGATGCAATATGGTTGCCAGAGAGACAGAGCTACTCTTTCATTATACATTTCTTTTTGTGAACTCATTCTTTGGTTCTAATCACACTTGCAGTTTTGTGTAATTTGCATCACACAGATCACCAGCAGAACGGTTTTACTTGAGTAGACAGAAGATGCGTTTATTCTGAGACATAATTATGAGTGGTGAAGTTTCATAAATCCATTTTGCAAATACAGTGTTTTTATACCGTGTAATTTAGCTAAAGGGGAAAGTGCATTATCTCTTCTTGGTTTCGGTTCCTTTAATTGCACAACGGAGGAAATTCATGGTGACTTTTGAGATCCATTGTGTTTTGAATTTCCAGTGTACCATTCTCTGAATACTTAAAGATATTGTAATTCTAGCCCTTGCAAAGCATTTTAGACAGTTTTCAGTGTAGGCATTAAAAAAAATGTAGCGATTTCTAAGTGTTCCTCCATTGCTGTAGTGGAATTCATTTTAAGAAAAAAGCTTACAAAAATAGTTTAAAGCTGAATTATACATGTACATACAGTAACTGCTTGTGCGAGGGAAAACCAGTGAATTAAGGATTCAGTGAACCTAATTCTTCTAATTCTTCTTCTAATTCTTGTCATCTTGGCTCATTACATATCTTAAAGCAAAAGTCCATGTATAACTGTTGAATGTAATGTAATCCATATGCTATGTACCAGATCCAGGTTTTAGATAACACAGAATTTGTTTCCACAGAAAGATACCAAGGAGAATACGAAATGGCATATAAAGAATATTTTCTCATTCAATCAGAAAATGTGGCATGGCATAAAGCAATTTTCTTCCTTCAATGTGTAAATATTTGGGTTTGCCCATAGTTGATGCTGTCTTTATAACACTGGGACTGTTTTAGCAAGTGTGGCAGTTGTAATGCTGGGTGGCATCATAAAAACAAAAACATTTGAGTCCCTCCTGTCTGTCTGATGCTTTCTGTGTAGTGAATACTAAACTAATCTCTAAGGAGACATCCTATTGGTCTGCTGAGTATGCTCATGCATTTTAATTGTAATTGCCATGCTTAAATAGTTTGAAAAATAAACTTGAGGTGAAATCAAATCTGACATGAGGCACATTAAAACCAAAAGGTCTTTCTGTGGGAATTTTCCCTTTGTGAACTGTTTCTGACTCAGTGATTCCTGTTCATCAGATGGGAAGTCTTTCACTGACCGTTGTGATATGGTGCTTTCCATAGACAAATTCGAGACCTTTCAGGCTCCGAGTGTAATATTTCAGGACACTGGTAATGTTTACAGTACTCTAATAAAATACACAAACGCCACCATTGCACAGCCAAAACTTCTACATAAGGAATATCAACTTTAAGTATGTGACAAGCCTGAGGCATCTGCAGGCAATAGGTTCCTCTTCTCCTGGCACTTTCTAAAGGTTCCAAACATTTCCATTCTTATGTGTCGAATTCAGAGGTGTGTGTTGGTACCAAGGAAGTTACATTTCTTGGAGAAATTTTTCATTATTTCGGGCTTGCCCCTGTGCTTTAAAAATACAGGAAAGTATAAACCTTTGCTGTATGTTCCTGTTGATGACAGCTGTCTTACGGGAATAAAATATGTTTGTTAATTGAAATGCATTAACAAATGTATTGTCCAATGTCTAAAAATGAAACTCATCAAAGCAACTTAAATCACATAGCTTGAAAGGGAATTGGTTGAAAAGGTTTGTGCAAAATTCAGTTTCTGATAGGTTTGTGACTTGAGAGTAAGATAGCACCAAATATTTTAGTAATGTGCATAAGGACAGATAAACGGTAAGACTCTTATCAATGGAACTGTAGAAACTAGGCTCACAGAAGGCTTAGCAGATGTGAAAATACAAACTAATTCCCAAAAATGTAATTGCTACATTTAATTTCAGTTTCTAGTCTGGTGACTGCTGGTTTTAAGTATCTGCAGGACTTGAAGGTGGTCATAGCAAAATCATTCCTTTTGTTGTTTGATATCTGAGTTAGACTGCTGTAACTTAAAGATCAGACTGATGCTACAAGCAGCAAGTGAGGCTGTTGGGGAGCAGAGCTACTCCAAATTCACCTTCTCATGGGGAGCGCCTGGGGCAGTAAGCTGGGATGGCTCCCCCCTGCTTCAGGGATTGCCCTTGGGTTTTGCAGTGGGGAGCAGACTGGTGGCACTGGCTTTGTTTAATGCTTCTGGAATTTAGTCATGTCATTGTTGGTATTCTATAGTATCTAGAATTTTCATCTGTTTTGCAAATAATTTGAATTTGAATTGCAGAAGTTCTTCTTCTGTTGATGTTGTTACTTAGGGCCTTGATGCTGCCACCGTGTGTATGATGTCAGTGGCTGATACTGTGGCCCTAGCTGAGCAAACTGTACATATAAATCACCCCGAATCAGAGCCTGGATGGAGCATCTCTGGTAAATTTAGAAGTATCACACGAGTGGAGGGACTCATAGCAGCATGACTAGCTCAGCACTCTGAGTACAGGCCTTCTGACAGAGTGCCAAGTGCAAAATTAGTAGTAAGTGTGAACTCGTCTCCCACCTTAGAGCAGAGTAGCGTATTTTCTTGCTAACTGGATTGGAAGCAGATTTCTCTGCTTTTAGTAGAGCCTCTACCTTGCCAGTTTTGCTTTGCACTCTTAGTCCTGGCTCTTAAGTTGAATAATTGAAAATATTTTCCTTAGGAGAGTTTCAATAGGCAGAAAATTGCAATGCAATTTTAAACAGCTGAAGAAAAAATATATTTTGTTTAAAAAAAGATACTCCGAGTGCGTCCATTGCGATAACTCTGTGCGTATGTGTAAAATGTGTCGAGAGGGAAGGCTGTGTTCCATTATGATGGCCATCTCTTTGTGAGTTGAGGCAGTTTCTGGTTTAGACAAAAGTTCCCATAAAACTCCCTGCTTGGACTCCTGAAGGAGCTGGAAAAACTATTTCTGTCCAGAAGTAATAATAGCATGAGTTTTTGGTTTTGATCATAAACTGACATTTAAAAGTCATCTGAGGAAGGATATTTCTTGATTAAAGCCAGTTTTTGCTTAATGCAGTTGCTGCTGATCTTTCCCATTTGGTATCGCGCTACTTGATGTGACCTCCTTCAGTTGCCTGTTTTCCATTTACGAGATCCCACAGGAGTTACTGACTTTCCCAAGAGACCTTTCAGTGGATCCAGTCATTCTGTTACCTTCCTTATTGCTTGGGTTTTCTTTTCCAAGTTTTCCCTGGGGCAGAGTTGCACAGCAGAAAGCATGAGGCAATCATCGGGTACCCAGGAAGAGGGTTTGGAATTGCAGACTGTGGCAGTGTGTCCATGCTGTGCGCCTGGCTCATCATGTTCCTGCCAGACCCCCCCCACCTTTCCCTGCAGGATACAGACATGATGTTTTATTTGTGGAATATGAAAGGTAGAATGTGACTGCATTTCCTGGTTTCATTCTCTAAGTTGTCAGTGTTTTAACATTGCTTACTTAATCCTGAGTGTTTTGCTTCTGCTGTGTGACCACTCTGAGGAGTCACCCTTAGGTGAGATGGACAGACACCTCTGTACATGGATCTGGGTGACGTATGGCTTCATGCCATGACTTTTCGTATGGAATACACCTGACGAGAGATGAAGGAATTTTGCTTTGGCTCTTTGTGTGTTTTGTGGATAGCTAAGACATGGTCTTACCTGCTGACAAGCTGGATTTTATCCCAAATCTTATGAAGTTCACAAATTGCCAAAACTCTGGTATTTAAGGCACAGAATAACTGTTTCCCATGTACAGAACTCACCGACACACTCTCCCAGGTAAAAAGCTTTTAGACAACAGAAGGTTATATGCTTTGAGACTTCCTTGAGATACATCTGGTTTCTGTATGACACAAAATACCACCAGCTAGCTGGGGATAGATGCATCGATGGTGGCAGCTACGCAGGAACTCCCAAACAAGTTGTGGGTGCGTTTTATAGCAGTTTGAAAATCAGAACCCTTCTGATCTCTTTTCTCTTGTGATTCCCAAAGCTATGGATGGACAAAGATAAAACATGATGTGGTGTTTAGCTATGGTATACTCGGGAACTCTTGCAGGCAAGGAACATAACAGTTGAGCTCACCAGGTACAAGCTAAGCCTAAATGTCTAGGATCTACAACCTGGCATAAAGAAATCACTAGATTCTCCAAGCCCTATGATACCAGCCAAATGAAGGCACATAGTGAATATCAAAGACATGGGGTAGTGAGAAGGGAGGCCTGAAAAACTTGTATTATTTTGTCATCAGAGAGGCATAATTCCAAAGGGAGTAAAACTGAACAAAGGTCCCTGTTCTGCAGGGCGAGCGACCTTAGACCAGCCACGTTTTCATGCTGTAAGTACCATGCACATTGTTGCCCCTCATGCGTCTTTGTTCCCAGGATAGATTGTGGCCTTTATCCCCATGGTAAATACAATACTAGATACTTTGTAGGAATTAAAACTGGCAAATTCCATGTGTTTTATGTCATTTGGCATTCTGCACAAACCCCTTTCAGTTTGTCATAAATTCCGAAACCAGAGCAGGGTCACATCTGGTAGCAATTTCACTCTGCCAGATGAGGCGTAATCCTATAAACCCAAACTCATTTCTCCAGCCCTTTTCAAAGCCAAGCTCCCCTGCTCCTTTTCCCCAAGACGCAGCGCTTGCCCCAGGAGCACTGTGGAACCATCTGGGCTGACAGGCTGCTCACACTTCGTAAACAGCCATTTTTGGACCACAGCCTTGCACCCCGTATGTAAGGCAGTGCAAGGAACAGTGGTGAAGTCTTCACTGTAACGGGCTGCATCCAGGGCCCGTTCCTTTTGGAACAGCAGGGCCCTCAGGATGCTGCAGTTGTCTGTGAGCTTTTGTGGTGTCTGGTGTATCTGTCATCTCCTGCTCTGGATAACTCGTCACCTTACATACTGCGGAACTAAAGAATCCATACAGGGCTTTTCTTCTACATGTTATTGAAATAGTTATAGCAAAAGTTATGAGTCTTAGGAAATTCCAGCTATACGCATTGACGACTGTAAAATACCTAGTGCTCTAACAAAGTAATGGAACAATGGTCACTCTTTGCACACTGTTGTAACTGGAAATAGCTCTCATTCCCAGTAATATGAATGTTTAATAGGAATCGGCAGTTTTGCGTGTTTTGGCATGTTTCTATTGCCCTATTATATTTTGATAATAGTAGTTATTTTGGCATCTCATCACCTTGGTTACTGTGTGCCTTCAGGGACTGTGTGAAACGTAGTGGTCCAGTTTCCCTGAAGGAGTAGCAAAGCCAAGTGTACTAGTAAGGTCATTTAACCTGCAGCATGGGGTGGGGTGTGAAATGGTGATGCATTATAATGTGTTATTCAATCAAAGTAACAGAACTTAGTTTAAAAATAGTCTTTCAAAGTTTTGTCCAAGGACCTCTAAGGCCTGTTTGTACAAGCACATGATACTGGTTTTCCTCTGAGGTGACCAATTCGAAGTACCTCTTGACAGCACATGAATGGTACTAAGAAAAAATCTCAAACCAACAAAACTCTTAAAAAAAAAAAAAAAAATCAGAGTTTAAACTGTTATTGTTACTTATAATTATTAGCTTGTCTACTCTGATATAAGTTCTTTTGAACATCTTTATCCACAGGGCAAATACCCTGACATTGTGACCCTTCCAGAAGGACTGAAGGGAGATTATATCGTTCTAAGGAACCCCAAACTTTCCGGGTAAGCCAATAAATACAGTTCTTGATTTATGATTATGAAATTAATATTGACAATCTATACATAATTAGTCTGCTTGAATAGTAGGTCACTCCTTGCTTTATAACACAGAGATTCCTTTCAGTAAGGAATATTCCTAAAGGCAGGGATTAGAGGGAATACAAACAAGCAGTAGAGCAGATGGGGTGTTCTAAGGGTGAACCAGTACAGCTGTTGTTCTGGGCTAACCCCTGTGTACTTGACTAGAGAAACTCTTCCCCTGCAGAAGCCAACTGCCTAATTGTTCACTTAGCATGATGTAGTCGTCTCATCCAACTGCCAAAGCTGGAAATAATAATTAGTATCACAAAACCACTGAAAACATTCTTGAAGGAATAAATGATGGTTAAGATTATTTTAAAAAAAAAAAAAATCAAAAGCAAACAAATGCAGGAATCTAAGCCTTGGGGATTCATCCCTGCACATTATTCTAGAGGCCATGAATAGTATCGAGATGGACCTCATTTGAAACTCAGAGCATCACTGGTAATGTAGACACTTCTTCTGGAACCATCTTCCTCTGTTTTCTTCCTGCATTTAAGCACAATACCTAACCACAGGGTGCAGAGAGTACATCAGGGTGACACAGGGGGATACTACCTGGCATTTTCTTTTGCATCTTTTTACCACTGCTCCATGGAAACTTAGCATTCATGAGAGACAAAGACAAGAACCAGGGGAAAACCATCCTTCGGGTTGCTGTCAACAGATTTCCAGTTTTCCTTGGTTCAAAACACAAGTTGTTCTGATTCTCAGAGATGGGCAACTTGCAACTCATCTGAGGTGAATGTTGTTTAAGAGTCTAACAAGCGTGAACCTCCTAAATGCCATCCTTCGAAGAAGCCTCAAAGACATTTGCCTCGTTAACACTGAGTTAACTAACTCTTCTATGCACGTGATACAGGTTTGAACTAATGATTGTGTGGAAGATACATCTAGATGAAGGGAGAACTACACCTGTTCTGGACCTCCTGACTAAAGTACCGGAGCAAGGTAACATCACTTGCTGCAGAGACCGTTTCAGAGCTGTGGAGCAGAACACCCCATCCCCTTTTTTTGCCCAGTATGCCTCTAGATAAAATGGAAATAAAACTTGAAGAGCCCAGCCAGGCAAAAAAGTCTCAATTTCGCAAGCAGCAAAGTTGTGCTTCCTGTATAGTTAACAAGGGCTTACAAACAAGCACGGCTTCCTGGTACTGGTTTCACCTCTAACTGCAATGCTGACAGTCACAGCGCAGCTCTCTGAAAACCACCTCTGTCGTTGCACTTTTCCCGCAGGCTCAGAGCAGAGGCTGGCAGCTCTGGCGGAGGCGCCGGCCCGCTTCCGGAGCATGCTGCGCTTGGTGGGGGTCGAGACGGCTATCGAGAACCTCATCCAAGCCCTCAGCCTGCAGCAGTGAACACCACTGCCACTTATGACAGGTAGCAGTTTCAAAAGTCATTTTAATTAAGATAATTGTGTTACACAGTCTATAATTTCATTGAATATAAACATTAAGTTATTTTCCATTTAGAAACCATACTCATAAAACATGCTATCTGTACAATTATGGCACGTTATATATAAATTGTCATGACATGAAAATAAATACAGCCATTTAAATACAAAAATGCCAAATAAAATAGTTACATGTACAGAGTGATTTCATTATAAATTTATCTTTCTGAATCATTAATGTACCAGAGTGGTTTATCTTCTTAACATTTTCTGGATACCTGGAAAGTGTTAAAAGATCATGCACTGTCAAAATCAAGTCCATAAAAATCCATTTCATTTCACAGCTCTGTAAAAGTACAGTGATTTTAAAATGACAGGAGAGCAGTTAGAGACATGAGCATGAAGAGTTAAATAGCTTTCTCATTAAGTTAGGGTGGAAGTAGACAAAATTTGAAGATTTCAAAGACATACAATGCTAAATAAAAAAAAAAAAAGG